CTGTTTCATTCAAAACTTGGCAATCTGATTGAATAATACCTCAACATAATCCAATTTTGATTTATCGATTTGTTATTTGAACAGTCATTATTGAAAGGTGACACTGAAACCTTTAGCGTAAAATAAATCCAATTTGATCCATATCCTGAAGACATCTTTCGGTGTTTTGGAAAAAGTGTTTGGAGTTGATATTTTCAATATTGAAACCATTTTTCCTCAGTGAAGATAATTTTCAACAAATTGAAAGATCAAATGCAGTAGTAGACTGAATTTTGAATATATCCTGAATTCAATGATACATAAAAATACCAAATAACAAAAAATATCAGAAATGTAAAAATGGATTTCTTAAATACTAAATTGGTATACTTTTGGGAGTGCATGAGTACTTCATTGCGCAGAATCTTTAGTAAATTCAAGACATCCTTCAAACGAGAGAGAAAGATGAATTTATCTTAGTGGGATCCCTCAGAACATATTGAGCACATAACCAAAATATACTATTCAACTCATATTCGCTACATATTTCACAATTTTTCATTGTAAAATTGTGTTATTTGGAAAATAATGAATTATGTTGACATGACATATTTCTCAGATTAAGGTTGGTTTTCAAATATTTCAGTAGCACTACGAACTCACGAGCTATTTACAGGAAAAAATCTCCGATTCATTGAATTGCATTTCAGTATAAAACAAAAATTTATTGTGACCGAGACCCCAATGAAACATTCCACCATCGGAATTTTCGAATAAATTGGACAACAAACAGCCAAAATAAATCTATAAATTCTGTTAGGAACGGCACCATAAAAATGAAAGCTCATAATTTTTTCGACCATAAAATGAGTTCGCGGGGAATTTTATTGATATATTATTATGTTGAGGATAAGGAATAAGTGAATGACAACTCGTGACTGAAAAAAATGGAATCAATATTAGTTGGTTGCGTGAAATGCTAGTAGAATATTGAATGAACAGATAAGTAATAATATTGGCAAAGTATTATTGCTATTTTGACGTACTTGAAAGAAATTGGCAGAGAAAAATGGCGGATACTAAGAATTATAAATTACAGAGTGAAGAGTTTTAATAATTCAGTGAAATAACGTACGAGTATGTATGAAGTATTATTTTCATTCAACTGTACTGTTCGGTATTAACCTGTTCTTGTAAGTGAGTTCAGGTATGGTTATTATTATTATTATTGTTAACATTTTATCATTGGCGACACCGGCTTTAATACTCACACGTGGAGGTTGGAGGGACAGTGGTGAATGCAAAAGACAGCAAGCAAGACGTGTGTTCCGCTAAATGTTTTGTGAATTGAAAAGTATAATAATGTACCGCCAAAAGCAGCATCCTTCAAGATTTCTTCAACATCGCTATTGGGGTACCTTACGATCACATATTTGGAAGTGAAACCAGATGGCAAAGAGATTTTCCAGAAATATTTGATGTTGGTGTTGTCCATCATTAATTTCTGAAATGTATTTTCCTTAAATATCCAACAATCAGCCCACATACTGTGAATACAGTCCTTATCGAAATAAGCAAAATTGACAAAACAAATTACCTGAATATAAGCATGACATATATTGAATAACATCCGTCAGATATTTGTGAAAAAGTCCTTATAGAAAGTAAATCTTACAAAAATTTCTTGATGTCCAAAACACGTTGTAGTGTCATAATATCAGCTAAGGTAGTGGAATAACAATATTGTGAATTGAATTCCAAGTATTTTTTATTTCTCAGTTTTCTTGAATGTGGGTTTTGTTATCCAGTGACAACTTTTTTTTTTGAGCAGACAACCATTTACGGACTGATATACGATCAGCCTGCAAAAATTGTTTCTGTTTTTGCACAAATTTCTCCCCGATGTAATTTAATTATTCATGAAAGTAAATGTTCTGTAATGAACATTTGAAACTTCATTAAAGATACAGGTTTCTTTGTAAATTTGCTTCTGCACATATTATATGTTTTAAAACGGGTTTTATTAAGCTTTTCCTGTTTGTTAGTTTGTGTTGAATTGGTACACATATTTAGTTTTGATGACAATACGACTCGTACAACTTAATAAATTCTGTATCATTGAATATCCAACATGGTCGCAGCTACAAAATGGCGGATTACATATTGTTTCACAACTTCCTCAATATGGGTATCAGAATGAGAGAGTTGAGTAACAAAATGAAAAAAAAACATGGAAATACATTTTTATGTGAAAAGGCTATATTCAAAAAAAAGATAATAATGATGTAGATAATGTACTTGAAACTTGAACATAATTTGGAAGGTCCTAGGTAGCAGTCATCACACCACAATCCTTAGTGATCTACGGTATTGACCAGTGAATAAAATGAAATCGTAGTATTTACAAATTATTTTTTTTTAAATTTATTTTTCCATCTGATCAATACTGTACATTGCTGATGCACCATAATGAAAAGTAACGAAGTAACTCGTGAAATCATCAATTCAATGATGTGTCAACACCTAGTACTGTTTCTATTCAAATTCTAAGGGTGAAAAGGTCCCCAAGGGGCAAAGCAACAGGTGTAAGGGTTGTAAAGATGTCTCCAATTCATATAATGAATTGTCTCCATTCATAAAAAATATTTATTGATATTTCATTATTATGTTGTTAACTAGAGTGATAGGTATTTTGTTATTAACTGCTATTTGTTTAATGTATGCGACTTCACTTCGGAGGTTTGACAAACATTGCATTTGACCAAAGGAATTGAAATCACTTTCGTAATGACAAAATTGACAAAAAACATCACCATATAACAAAATTTGGTGGTGAAATATGATTGAATAATGAACTGAATATGAGAAACAAAAGATTCTTCGTCCCAAATTTTTTGTGACAACCTGTATATACTACATATGTGAAACTGATTCAACAAATATATTTTGAGTAATAATTCCTTCAAAATGAGGATTGGATCAAATTTTTAATGAAATTAGGTATTTTCTTCTGAATTATATCTCATTCATCCTAATGTGAATATCTAGTGAAAATGAAGCAGAATAAATGTTTGGGAAATATTGTTTCATACACTCTATTTAAAACTGATTCTAATTTGAGGTTTGGGACACTCAAGATTTTTTGACGTGAACAGATGCAGCTTTATCAGAAATCCACAAAGTGGAATGGGCGTCCTTTTGATACTAAGTATTTCAATTCTCCATCTAATAACACTGTTTCATTTTTGAAAATTAAATCAGATATTTTTAAGTGATCGGCAGTTCTATTTCACCTCAAGAATTTACTAAACAAATGAACAATACAAGTATTATAATTTTCAGAAAAAAAATTGTAAATTTCATCCAACCCTGATATCTCTCTTCTCATTCAAATGTTGAGATAATTTTTCGCACTGAAAAAGGTTTTTGATGATGCTTGACCGGAATATGGAATTATTTTCATTTATACCGACCCCTAAAGCAATTTTTGTAGAAAAATTATTAAGACCCTGAAAACAGATCACCAATCCAAATCTTTTTTTAATGATCAAATCAAGTAGGTATATTTTTCCCAAAAATATATCCTGAACTACTTGAAGTAATTATAGTGGGATACTGCATATGGTTCTAAAGAATTGTATTTTTCATTGACAGTGTGAAACTCAATAACGTATTTCATTCCAGAATTTTATATGGAATAGAATGGCATCTGATAAGTTTTTTTTTGAGTATTTTCGCCTTCCACAAAATAAAAACTATAACGGATATTTTTTTGATGTGACAAAATGAACGCAAATTTCGAAAAACATTATCTCTCTTATATAAGTAAGTGATTTACTGATTATGAAGACGGATTTTCGTCTCCAATCTTTGAGATTACGATCAATGAATTGGACTGACGAATTTTGATTGATATATTTCACTTCTTACTAGACCAATATTGGAGTGAACTTCGGGTGGAATCCAATAAAAACTACAGAATTTGAAAAGAACAGATGAACGAATAATTTACCAGTAAGACTACATTACAAGAGTTAGTGTGTGTGAAAAAGTAAAATCTCCGGTTTTTTCCAGAAGATCTGTATTTTTCGCGTTTGGAAAAAATAGTATGTAAATTGAAAGGGTTATATTTTCAGGAGTGATACATTTTTAGGAAAGAAAGTTTTTGGCTTTCTACTACTCCATCTGGTTACAAAAAAAAATTGGGAATCTTCCGAAGAAAGGAAGGAAGTAATCGATTTTAAAATAAGTAACTATATACATGGATATGTAGATCATGCAAAGAAAAAACTTTCAGACAAAAACTGAAAGGAAAAGCCTTCCTGAAACAGCTAGTTTCATATAAACATTGAATTACATGAAAGAAAATTTATTTCGAAACAAATACTTTTACATGAACACTGAATCATACAGAAGACACTATTCTCTACTCAGTTTGCATTTCAAACATTCGTTATGGAATAAATTCAGATATCATTCATAGGTTTATTAACTCCTGAATGAATGGTAAAAATTTGCACTTACATGGAACACTGTCATCCTCACTGGTAGACATGTGTCTGAAAGTTACTTCTTTGCATGATCTACACATCCATATACAGCGTTATTTATTTTGAAATTGATTACTTCTTTCCTTTCTTTGGAAGATTCCGAATTTTTTTTGTAACAAGATGGAGTAGTAGAAAGCCAATAACAAATGTGTACTTATCCATGTTTCAGTCAGGGAAAAAGAGTTCTGTATAACTCGCATAGTTGACAAATACCGATATAGTTCCGATAGGATAATAATAACAAAATCAAAATGATAATACTCAGTGAGACAGCATGAATGAAGGGTCCGTATTCCCTTTTTTGTATACATCAAAGTTCAAAACAAGATAAAAACCACAATAATGCTCATGGGCTCAAAAAATCATTCGCCTTTTTTGTCGAACTGAAACTCGTCTTTGAATGATCCAAGCTGCTAATTTCATTTCTATTTACTTTTCAATTCATTGTTGCAAAAAAACTCAATGACTTACTCATCAAAATATTCCATTTTGATTTCCTGTTTGAAGAGGAACGGTAGGTCCAACATGGTGAAATATAAATACACACGAATATTCGATATTTAACCGAATTGACAGTTTGGTCAGTGATAACTCCCGGCGAACGATAGACTAGTGTACCGAACAATAAAATCAACAAATTTCTACTGGAAAGTCCATATGCGCATGGGTGTTGAATGAATACGGGAGTTTGTGACACGTCAGAATGGTAAACAAAAAAAGGATTCAGCAAAAACTACATAAATGTCAGAATAATCAGCTGATTTGGTAGGTATTCCTGCATATACAAGATGATTGAAGATTGAGTTCTTATGAATTTTTTTGAACGAATGTTACTGCAAAAAATGTTATTGGATTGATTTTTGTTGAAGAAATAGGTGATGTGCATTCGATTCTTGTGAATTATCGTTACCTACTGACCAAGAATAAATTTTACTAACATCACCAAGTTGCACAACAATGAATCTGAAACATTCTTCTCGAGCAATGTTTTTGCCAAACCGAGTTGGCATTATGAGAACTCCAATGAGTTTTGATCACGATGTTTGTTGAAGGAATTTTTATCGTTTCTTGATAGTGCCAACTTTGCGAAACATTGAACCATTATTCGCTTCGATCAAATTATATTACAGGTTTTTTAGGACCTCTTTTTCGTGAGTAACCAAGGTGATCGATATTTACAAGGGAAAGAGTTGGCGACAGATGATTGAAATGAGTTTTCAGATGATTTTTTCTCAAAAGAAGAATATCCAGTGACAAATGAAGACTATTGAAGAAGTGTTTTAATACATGGAATGTTTCTTTGTCGCTCGGGGCTTTGTTCACGAGATGGGAGATGGAGCTATTACTAGTTACCAATCTTTCTCTTAGATGAATATTTCGTAGTTACAGTCGAGCCGCGTTGAAATTAATCGAGACCCAGGCACATTGATGTCACTGTACTGATGAGAGATAATTTTCCAAAATTTGTCTGTAGGTGATCTATTCGATCAATTTCACCACGGTTCTGCTGCTGGATGAATAAAAAACATCTGCAAGACTAACCTCTGCATGTGTGCCGGGACATGCAGACGTGACCATAAGCAAAGACGAGTTCAACAGCAACAAAGTTACTACGTGATTTGTTGCTTCAAAATGTTTTCGCGACAAAAATAGTTTCTGAGAAAACAAAAGTGTTCATTATAGAATTCTGTAAAATGGCTGATAATTCTTCATTATACCCCTTTTTGAGTTGATCATACTTGAAAATTCAAAAGAAAGGAATCAACGTTATTTCTGTGAATCATCTCATTAGCAAACTAATAAAAAATATCCAGAATAGTTATTGTTTTTGTGTAAAATTGTGTCCAGTATTCAGAAATCTAATCATGGTGTTTGCATTTTCATTTGTTGCAATATACTTGGGGACGGTAATGAATGGAATATCGAACACCTTTCTTCATTTTCACTAGCTATTATTGGCATGTAATTTTTCCTGCTTTTGTCTTCATTGAATCGGGCACGTTTCAGGTATCCACGTCCATGACAAGTTCCGGGTTTTGCCGTGGTCTTCTTTGGTTATAATCTCCAAACGTTTCCAATGCAACTGCGGCAGTCATCTTCAGTGGCGTGGTCAAAGTACTCTTCTTGACGTGTCTGTGAATGAAACGATAGCTAGGCAAAAACTGGTTTATTTTACTTCCTCTAAAACTTGTAAAGTATATTCATTTTAAATAAATATATCGTGTGATTTTCTACTTCCTCCTCTTTTTCAAAATTATTCACTAATAATAATTTACAACAAATACTATTGTGAACCTGAAACTAATCCAAATGATTTTACTTTTGCCTAACATAAAATAATAAAACACCTTCCTTTATTCACATTTTTGAATACATCGTGTGGTTACATATATGAACTGGTTTTATTATTATTCCTTTACAAATTTTATTTTCTACAAATATAACATTATTATTGCTACCTTCCAAAATTTACGATTCTTCAACTACAGAATTATCATTTGTTTTTTCTTCTGGAATGATAGCTAGAAATCTCCTTTGTCTTTCTATAACTGATCCATTATCCAACCTAACTTTTTATGACCTATGTCTAACCTTATCTATAACTTCTCCCGGTTGCCATCTAGAATTAGTACCCTGAATCATTATTTTTGTATCCTTTTTCAACTGTGGTGAACTTTTCTTGTTTTTTTTTTATTATAATAGTAACTTTGTACTATTCTATACTATGTTCCATAGGAATTATGCCTCTTAATCTTCTTGACAAAGTTGTGCTGATGAACCAATTTCATTTGGAACTGGAGTATTTCTATACTGCAACAGGGTCAAATACAAATCTTTTTGATCATCCCTATTTTTGCTAAGAATATTTTTTGAAATTTGCACAGCGCGTTCTACCATACCATTACTTTGTGGATATGAGGCTGAAGAAGTTTGGTGGTTAAATTCCTACGTCTTAGCAAATGACTTGAATAAGTCAAAGGAAAATTGTGGACCATTATCAGAAAATAAACTTTTTGGTATGCCGTGACGAGCAAAAAAACTCTTCAAATGCATTATTACATTTACAGCAGTTGTATTCGTATCAATTCTACGTATTTTGAAAAATAGTATAGGACAATCAAATACTACTTTTTGTCTAGTTCAAAAAAATCACACCCTAATTTTTACCATGGCTATGATGGTACTTCGTGTGGACATAATGGTTCTTTCATTTGATATTTTCTGTATCTCATACATATAGAACGATTACCTATGAAGTGGTTGATATCCCTAGTCAGTGTTGGACAAAAAACACATTCTACTGCATAATTTTTTGTTTTTTTCTTGGCTCTGATGACTGTAATGCAATTTATGCATAGTTGCATTCACAAATTTTTTATGAATAGCAATTTTTTGCCAACATAAAGCATATCGTTGAATTCTAGCAGATCATTTTCATTTCGAAAAAACAATTGATGTTATTTATCATTATATTTATTAATATTTTGTGGCCACCCATTTTGCAAAAAAAATCGTATTTTTGTGAAGTCAGAATCCAAATATGTTTCTCTTTGAATGTCTTTCACAAACTCAGACTCAAAATTGTTTTGTATTTTCAGCATGCATACTTGAGCATCTATATCTACACTTATGTCATCATTTATTTTTGTATTGTTTGTATATGCTCTAGATTAAATAAGACAATTGATCAACACAAAAAAAGTCAAATGAGAAGTGTGACCATCCTACCGACTACGCCATGAAAATGAAACGATAGCTAGGCAAATACCGGTTTATTTTATTTCCTCTAAATATTTAAAGTATATTCATTTCAAATAAATATATCGGGTGATCTTCTACAGTGACAACTGAAACTGTAATATTTTACTCGTCATCATTTAATCATTGAGTAATGTATTATTATTGCACACTACTTGTTGAACTCGACCAAATGGTCTATTTTTCGTTCCGAGCAATGAACAATCACTTTTTGTAATTATTTCTCAACACCGTTCAGTTTCAGTATTTGACTGAAAATCTTAGTAGCTAATTTGTGTCAGTCACCCATCATCAATCTATTGAACCTCTGACATGTGTTAATCACCGGTTGCCTTGGTTAATCTGAACGACTGAATATCTGACAACACCACAACTTTTATCTGAAAAATGATGCCAACCAATGTCGTTTCATTTTATGATAGCAGAATAAATTGATTTCTGGTAGTTTCGACATCAACTTGATATTGTTCACAAGGCAGCTCTGAGACAGTGGTTGATGTTCTCATAAACCGGAGAGAATGATCGCTACACAAAATTTGAGTCAACTAATAGTTCTTCTTCCGAATGAAAGCTATATTATTCAGGAATGATATATGCTACTCGTTTATCCCGATATCTCCACAGGATCGTATTCTACGCTATGAATTGATGATATTCTTTAGTTCACGTGTATTAAGTTGCGGGTAAAAGCCATTGTATTGGAAAAAAATCATCCATAAATGAAAATTTGTCAGTTTCAATTATGAATACTTTAATTTGTTGAAGACAAATCGTAGGCCTGAACTATGTTTCACGATAAGAATCACAACTTTGAATTGCACCAGTGTGGGTAGTTAGTTGAGTATATGACTTCAGAAAAAAAACTTCGTTGTGTTTGGTTTCGTATGAAAATTATGCGACATTGGTTGAGACTGCTGCGTAAGAAGCTGACCACGCGACAAAGCTATGATCTGAGTCAAGCAAGCAGAAGATACATTATTGTTAAACGCACTCCACATAAAAGTGGGTGGTGTGCAGTATTCGGAAGACACCGAGGCTCATTAGATCACTGCAGTTTTTTAGTAATCCTCAATTTTTTTCAAAAATGAAATATAGCCCATGAAACTCGCTAATGATTAGCTTCTATTGGCCTAACAAATACTTTTGACAATTTCACGACGCCTTTAATAAATACGAACTTTTTGCAAGTTTTCATTGAAATTTTTGTCAGTCACTCACCCTGTTCAAAATAACCCGTATATTTATAGTTATTCATAAGTTTTTCGATGAATCATTATTAATGTATTTGGAATAACGCAATCGAGAAACATGGAGAATCAAGAGCTGTTGCGCTTGATATTTCTAAGGCTTTTGACCGTGTGTGGCATGAGAGTTTGCTGGCCAAACTTTGGTGCTATGGCCTGTCGGATCATTNATATTCAATCGTAATTATAAATATTTCATGTTATTATCTAATATATTTTGGACGATGATTTAACGAATTTCAAAATTTTTTAAACTTTGAAAAATCAATAATAGTGATGTTTCGCGTTGATATTTCTATTTTCGAAACCAACTATATTAAGAAATCAAAATTAAAAACAAAAGTATGAGTTCCTGTTACGAAATCAACCGACTTATAGTGAATCTACATACCTCTGTCGAGTATGGATTACTTCAGATTTGATGTATGTAAACCAATCTATCTTATAAATAGTTGACATCTCGTAATTGTTATAAAAATTGACTATACCACTTTTGTCAAATTGTCAACTATTCTACAAATAATATTTACGAAGATAATCAAATATAATTCCTGTTAAATTACCAGAAGGTATATTAGGAACATTCGATTTCTTGAAAGCAGCTCAAGAATCTTCCAATTGTGCTTTTAGATTTTCAATAACTCTGTCCGATTTTTTCCTCAA